TCCCCTCTACACGCCCAGTTCAAAGATATCAGAACAATGAGACCCCCTGGGGGTTAATTAATTCAAGATATACCCTAGGCAACTTTTAACTCTCAAGTGCACACAGTGCTTAGTAGTTAACACAAAGATGACTGCAGAAAAAAACTTGGTTTCAAATTTTGTATTGTTTTACTACAAACTGGAGGATCGGTCAATATCGTAACGCCATCTTAATAATATTTCTGGATCCAATCCTGAGGACAACTGTGCAAGACAAAGTTTCCGAATACTGCCTATCGATATGATCTTGAAACAAGTGGACACTTTTCCCTTTTAATCGCCTTACTCACCAAACTTTTAAATCGGTGTTCATGTTCAATTGCCGGAACGTGGCTCGCTTGATAAACAACCTGGTACCTGTTAAAGGTTTCCACCGTAACTTATACCAACACACTATAAACCAGCCCAAACTATTGCTGTTATTAAGCCTATGAGCTCTTGAAAATATCTATGTTCAACCAGTGAATATTATTTGCCTTGTAGAAAAGCTGTTAATGCTTATAAGAAATGCGGGTGATTTTGTAGGGTGGGGAAACATGACATACTGTGGCTTCATATAAACAGTTTACGAATTTAGACATGAAAATAATTTCAACAAAAAAACTAGCATCTTGTTTCGATCGAGTTTTTTTAAACCTCTTATGAACGCTAATAATTAAAGGTAAGAGATATCACTTACCCGTATACTCTATAGAGGCTGGACTCGTCAGATCCACGAATCTTTCTAAAACGAGAACAACAGATATAAATTCCACGAGATGTCAAGAATGACAAAATATGTCGTTACCCAGTTCACACTTAAGCGCTCTTCCGATCAATACGTTACAAAAGCGAAAATATCTTTCGGTTATTTGAAAAACCGGGCACTTAAGATAATAACATCAAAATATTTGCGTAAATTACCATTCATTAAAACTGTCGTCCATTTTTTTGGTCCAACATGGTGGCAGGGTCAGAAAGTTCGTAATGGTCAAGGAATTCTAAAAATACTACAGTGATGTCATCTCACTACCCGTCGCTATGACAATCGAGAACTGGTTTTGTTGGTGTACAAGAGATACCGTAAAAAAAATAATTAGAAGACAAAAATGCGCCAGATTTCGCTTGTAAAACGTTCCTATTGAAAACAAAACTAAGCAAAAAAGTTCACCGGAACTTGTAGAGAATGACTGGACTTCGCAAATTACTTGTCCATTTGCTCTGCTCTTTCTTCGCCAGTGTTCATAACGGGAGAGCACTTAAAATTCTAGATAAGAGGTGTTAAAGTTATCAAAAAATGTAGACTTTTATTTGTTTCTTTCAACCGACGTAGTATATTGCAGGAAGGAAGCCTTCAATGTTGATATTTAGAAATAACTGAACACAAATGAAAAAATTGACAAACATTACCTCTGATTACGCGTGGTGGAAAGAAAAGTTGCTGAATTTATCTGAGTTGTCTGAATAAGTCAAACATTAAAAAAAATCTGCAATGACTGGAGAGCATTACCTTACCTGTTTAAAGAAATGATCTCTTTTCTAGTTTTTGTGTCAAATAAAATGCATTCTGACCTGAGGGGTAAAGTAGTNGCAACGAAACTCCAAAGGCTTACATGACAAATTAAACCTTTGTTAAATTTCATTTTTTTAATAGACCAAGTACCAAAACTGGGTCTATTAGCCTCACATTCAAGTAGAGCTTCAATCAATCAGTTAGAGCTAATTTGCGTTAAACGCATTCACGTGGGCAGATATAATGTACCAAGACACAGGTTGCGAATGATCATAGTTATGATATAGTTATTAAAGCCTGAGGTGTTTTTTAGGAGGTGGGGGAAGGCTTTTTTGCATCAGTTTTAGTTCTGTTGTTACTTCATAATGAATGATTTACTTTATCCATCGCAGGTTTTACTGAAAAAGCTATAAGACTGACTCTTACTCGATTGTTTCTCTTTAAGATTCCAGGAACAATATAGAGATAACTATAACCTTAACAATATTAGATTTTACCCTAGCAAGAAAGCCGTTTAGTTTAGTTCGTTAGAGTTTCTGCGTCCCTGTTGCAGCTTTGCTCCTCCGTACAGGTTTACTTGTTAGATACCACACGTTTTGTAAAACTTAGAAAAGATTAAATATCATCTTACCACTTTCATAGCACCCGGTGGTTCAGCGCTCTTGGATGAGCTGGGATTTGGGGCTCCCTGGATTTCTGAGGAGGGGTCAACATTTGTTAACTTCAAGGAAACAACTCATAGATTTCGAGTGACCAGGGCTATAAGAGAGCCGGCA